ACATTATACTAGTGTAGTGTAGACTATACTAGTACCAGCTTCTGTACTTGTATCCTTTTACTTTGCTCCTTGTCAAATAAAATACACCTTAAGGCAGACTCTCAGTCCTGCCCCTAGCTTTTTATATTTTTGTCTATTTAGGAAGCCTCCTGTGTGTCTCTAACCATCTCCATGCCTTTTGCTGCATTATTTATCACAAAGAACAGAGCAAGATTAGAAAGTGACCAAAAACTTTTGTGCACGGTACATTTATATAATGGGAGCATTACTTTACTTTTCCAAGCCATTTCCAACTTTTAATTTGTATTTTAAAAAGTACAATGGGCTGCTATTTAATGCTCCTGATTTAACTTCTGTAGTCGATGGTGAAAGCTGAAAGCAGCTCACCCACTAGGGAGGCACAGATGAAAGTGGCAGGGACAAGGTTCATGGGAATAAAATTTGTAATGCAGTTTTTTCTCTTCTTTTTAAAGCATGCACCTGTTGTTGCTGCTTTCAATTATGCAGCAGCAGTGACTATGTTCCATTCACACTTGAATTCCTATTTAAAAACAGGTCTGCTAAACAGCTCCTGCCTTCACCATTTTTATATAATCTAAAATATAAAAAGGGGCCAGCTGCTACTGAAGTGTTGTTGGCACAGATAAGGGCAGAGGAGACTGAGCTGGTGAGAATAAAAGAACATGTTGCAGATGAAGAAAAGCAATAAAATTATACTTTTTATAATGTTTGTTTTTAATTTTTTAAATAAAAAAAACTGATCAGAAAAATACCATAAAACAAACCTTACATGTTTTAGGTTGTACATATTCCTAAAACCAGAGTTGCAGCAGAGATGGGGGAGGAAAATATAAAACTGGATTTTCTTATCTTTTTTTCTTGTGTGTATTTTATTTTTGGAGCCTAAGCTTGCTCCCATTTAAGTCAACAGGAGTTTTGCCATTGATTTCAATAGGCCCTTCACAGGTTCTGAGACATCAGTGGTTTGCAAACTTTTTGAGCTGAGCCCCCCCCCCCCCCCTTTTGAGTTTTTGGTTGCACACCCCTAGCCCAGACAAAAGTAGACACATGCAAAAGGATGCTTGATAGCCTATTTATAAACCTAACAGAGACCTCCACACAATTTTAATTAAATTACCTATACCTGTAAGTTTCAAATATACAGATACTTACCAATGGCACAGCCAAGGATTCCTCAGCAGTGGGCTGCTTTTACCTTGCAGTGATACTACATTGCTGGAGCAGGGCCAACACCTGCTCCTCCCCTCTCTTGTTTTCAGGTTGGGGAAAGGTGCATGTGATGGTCTCTGGGTGCAGAGCCAGGGCTGGGTGCGGAGGTTGTCAGGAGTGGAAATCAGCATGGCCATGGCGGATATCAATCCTGACCCACAGGCTGGGTGGCCTGCTGAGGTGAGTCAGGGTGGAGGTGGGGCTCCCTGCCCACCTTCCCCGTGAGGACTGGCACAAGCCACCTGATGTTACCACTGGCCTCCCTGAACATTCATCCATGCCCCCCTATTGGGGTGTGCCCCACTGTTTGAAAACCTCTGATATATGGTAGGTAAACGAAGAATTGTAGATATAAGGTATTGCTACATTTTCAACACAGAAAGGGCTTCAGGAAAAAGTCATTTATAAACCAACCAGAAAATATGCCAGAGCTTCCCTAAAATGTATAAAATATATTAAAATCAAAATTATGTAAAATAAAAATATCATGACATTGCATCTTACATTATCTGTGGATATGTTAATAAATATATTTATATGAGCTGGATGAAACATTGTGATAGGTTTGAGTTTAAACCTTTTTGAGAGTGAGTGTGACTGTACCCTTTAATTAAAATGTCATGGTGTGTTGTGAACTCCCCTAAGAGTTTGAAGAGTGGAAGACAGGGGAGGCAAAAGAGCAAGATAGCCAAGCGGTAGCCAGTGAGCACAGTGTGACCATGGAAAAACCTAGAGTGAGAGCTTTTGGGTCTGTTGACTAAAGAGGGTTGGGGCTGTAAGTTAAGAACCGACTCCTCTTGTTTTGGTTCTTCCTGTGTTTAGAGAAATAGGACTTTGTATGTTCCTTGTATATAAACAACGTTGCATCAAAGAAAATACCACATTCCATCAATTTCTGCTTCTAATGGAACATTCCCAGGGCACTGAACTTTGACTAGCTGCTCAGGTTGTAAAGGGGCTATGCTATGTTTAAATAACATAACATAAAAAGCTGCTTCCCTCAAAGAGCTGTCTAAACAGTCTTGTTAGAATCATACAATCATAGAATATTAAGGTTGGAAGGGACCTCAGGAGGTCATCTAGTCCAACCCCCTGCTCAAAGCAGGACCAATTCCCAACTAAATCATCCCAGCCAGGGCTTTGTCAAGCCTGACCTTAAAAACCTCTAAGGAAGAAGATTCCACCACCTCCCCAGGAAACCCATTCCAGTGCTTCACCACCCTCCTAGTGAAAAAGTTTTCCTAATATCTAACCTAAACCTTCCCCACTGCAACTTGAGACTATTACTCCTTGTTCTGTCATTTGGTACCACTGAGAACAGTCTAGATCCATCCTCTTTGGACCCCCCTTTCAGGTAGTTGAAAGCAGCTATGAAATCCCCCCTCATTCTTCTCTTCTGCAGACTAAACAATCCCAGTTCCCTCAGCCTCTCCTCATACGTCATGTGCTCCAGACCCCTAATCATTTTTGTTGCCCTCCGCTGGACTCTTTCCAATTTTTCCACATCCTTCTTGTAGTGTGGGTCATATATCAGGAACCATTTGAAAAAGTAGTTGCTGATCACTCATCTGGTCAGGCTTTCTCCCCTTCATACTTAATATTAACATCTCAATACCAAAGAGTAATAACTAGAAATGGGCCTGATTTAAGAAGCTCAGATTCATGTCAGAATTAACTGAATGATTGGGAAGGTTTGGATCTGCTGTTTTGGTTTGGACCTATGTTGTCTCTACTAATAACAACCCATGCAGGGTATCTGCAGAATCCTGGCAGCTCTCTTTGCTTGAATTCTACATTTCCCCCCTCTAACAATTTCTCTCCCTCCCTTCCCCCGTAGTTGACAGTATATGGGGATGGGGGATCTCCAGAAGTTCTCTACCAAATAGCCCTATATATACTATGGAAATTTTGCCCTTTGGTGTTAGACACATTGGGAGCCCTAGTGCAGATGGATTGTTGGCTATGATTAGTTCTGCTCTGAGCTGGGTTAGATGACTGTCTAATTCATGGTTGCCAAATTGGCCTCTCACAACCCTGTTGATCAGAGAGCAGAAGCTGCTTTTTTCCTACACTGGCACAGGGATATAGCATAGTCACAATGCTTAAAATGCTGTCAGCAGTTGGTGACCCATCTACAATAAAACTCCCACTGTTAATATGGTGGAGCAAAATTGGTATTAACAATAGTGAAAATTGTTTGTGAAATTTCCCTAGTGTAGACAGGATAAGATTTAACTTTTGAAAATAAGGTAAAGTTACTATAAAATCCCACTCATGAAGGTGAATCATATTTTCCGGTATCAGTATACCCTCATAGATAACAGGCTTGATAGATCCTCAAATCTAGAAAGGAGAATCACTTCCCAGTTGCTTTTTTTGACCATGTGAACATTCATTATTCTATACCAAGTCATACTTTTGGTAACTACTTACAGCAAAGATCTGCTCATGTAGATATGCAGCCTTTGAAGAGTAAAATTTGGACTCGATCAGATTGTGATAACTAGGATAAAGACAGCAAGCATTATGTCCTGAGCTCAGGGGTGAAAAAAGGGGAATTCAATCCCATATTGTATTTTTACCTAAAAGACATAGAAACATCAAGGAGGGGCATATTTTTAAAGGAAGACACACTTTTATTATGCACCCTGTCCTGTTTGTTTGGATTCCAGTACTGTCTTGAATAGTAACATCTCTGAATGAATATTCATGACAGAAAATTATTTTAGCTGGCTTTGGATAATGCAAATGCCATACCACTGAAGGGATTAAATCAGTCAGACTGGCTGAAATCAACTTCATTGGGCATAATATTTTATTATAGAAATGCCACAAAATCTGTCCCAAGCAAGGCTGTTCAACAAAGTCTATATATATATGGGTGAGCCAGGAATAAAGTAAAATACAGATTTGAAGATATTACCCTACAGCAACACGGTTAAAAAGAGGCAGACAGTAATTTATTTGTGAAATTCCTGGAGTGGAGGAGAAGTCTTGAAGCTGTAGTTTGAGGTAAATCTGTCATAATACAATGATACAAATGATCATTCTGACCAGAAAAAAATAAGATAGTGAGCAAATGGGAGAAGAAGCAGAAAGGAAAAAGTACATTCCCCAACATGAATGTGATTAGAGCTAGGAAACAGTCAGTGATTAGAGCTAGGAAACAGAATGTTTGTTTGTTTTGTTTGTTTTTTTAAGGGAGATTTTCCTGGTTCACCTCTCTACAAAATAAATTAATAAATAAAAGTAGTCAGTTTCTTAATACATTTTGCAACATAATACATTTCTTGTGAAATAAATTAGACTCTGTATACTTGAACTTTTAATTTGGGAGTTGCAATAACTAATTTCCTATTTGTTCTCTCCCCCCCCCACTAGCCTTAATTCGGCCTATATATATATATGCATTTAGATACTTAATGTAGGCATGTGGCTTTGAAAATGTTGGCCTTTTGAATAGAGGCAAGAGAATAGTTTAATCACAACTGGCTCTGCATGCAGACTATTTAATTTTGGGCTGTTTTAAAACCATCAGCCCTTCGTCCTTTCAGACCCACACATATTAGATGGGGATAGTGGAACCCCTGGGTCTGCAATAGGTGGACAGAGACAAATACTTGGGTGGGAATCCATGGGGTTGCAGTGCCTGTGGTTGTGCTGCTAGAGCTCTTTTTGCTCTGTTATTAGGGAGTTTGCTGCTGCCCCTTGTGGCAGGTTGCTCAGCCCTAATGAAAACCCAGCTCCTCGGGAATGCTGGGAATGTTGAGTCAGGGACTAGCAAGCCAGAGAGCCAGGCTCGCAGTTTACTGAGGGAGACTCGCTGAGGGACAGAAAGACGAGGGATAGAAATACACAAACCTCTCCTGACTGCAGCAGACTCCCTCTCTCCCTTGCCTCTTAAATGTTCGCCTGTTCCAGCTCTCCACGCTGCCTCTTTCCTCACTGTAATCAGCTGTCAGCTAGACTTGATGTTGTAAAATCCATGTGAGGAGGAAAGACAGATGCAATGATTTGAAAGGTGAGAAGCTTAAGCAAGAATATGGCCATAATAGATTTTTGTGTATTAATTTTGATTAACAAAATTGTTATATATTGCTGTCTAAAATTATTTAGTGGCTGAAAATGAAGAAAGAAATGGCAAAAAAGGGTTTTTCCCCCCCAGCCCTTTAATACATTGCAATAAATGTGACCAAGTGCACATCTTATTCTAGTAGCAATGAGTGCCTCTCCCTACAGAATCGTCTACATACCTTTCTTGCAATTTCTCCTAAAATCAGCCATATAATTGTCATGTTTGTGAACAGTTTACAAATATTATTATTATTGTATAAAAGTCTAGCATGGAATTGATGAGCATTTAAAATTCCTAGCTTTGTAGACCATATAATTTGTAAAGCTTGGTTTTTAAAGACAAACGGTGTCAGAAAAAAACCTGATTTATTTTTTCTTTTTGTGGCTGGGAAAAGGAAATCAAGAGTCAGAGTAACAGGATATTATTTTGCAGTTATATAATGAATGAATACTTAGTTGGGTTGCACGTTTACAATGCTGTGTGGGTTTAAGGATCATTTTAGGTGGCCCAAGATTATGATGCAGATGATAAACCCAGGAATATATTTATCATACAAACAAACAAAAAATTTCTTAAAGAGCTGGAGTAATAATGTGATGGGGAGAAGGGTGGTGTCTTTTTTATTAGTGTGTGATTGATTTCTAGGCGGCTACCTGCTAAGCCTTGTGATGGATGGAAGGGAATCTACTCCCTTAGCGGCGAATTGATATTTCCCTTTTGATGGACAATCCAACAGGCCACTTGCACTAGCAGAAACTGGCTCGTTGCAATGAGCACGGCCAATGCGTGCAGCCAAGAGGAGGGCAAATCCCACTTGTCAGGGATAGTTTCCTGCTCTGGCTTTTTAAATCAAGGGTTTCACTTAACCATTTGTTATTTTCCCCATCAGTTGTGGGCCCGGTTTCCCCCCCCCCCGCCCTTCCGTGTCCCTTCCCCACAGCTCCACCAAAGGGGGGAGGAAGCCTTCTGTAGCCCTTTCCCCTCACAGGCGGGCAGCGTTCTCCCCCTAAGTGGCTTCTGCGCTGCTCCTTCATTTCCCTAGGGCGCTGGGCGGTGTAGAAAGAGAGACTCAGCACCTGTCTCGGCCCCCTTTCCGTGCCGCCCCGCGGGAGGGGAGGACGTGCTACGCGCCAACTCCCCCGCCCTGCCATCACAGGGACACAGACAACTCCTCTGATGCCTTCCCTAGCCGCTCCCCCCAAGCTCAGGGCGATGAGGGAGAGACACCCCCCCCCCCGTAATCTTAGGCTCCCTCGCAGCACTCAGTGCACCGTGAGGCTTGTCTCTGCGCCCGCAGGCTCCCCTCGCATGCTGGGGTGTGAACACCACCAGCCCCCAAGACTCTTGCAGCTTCCACCCCCCTTGCATGGCACGTGTGTGAACGGACCCCCATCCCCAGCGGCCGGGGAGGTGCTTTTTCTCCCCCGAGCCTGCTCCAGGAGTGAGAAGGCTGCAGCCCATCACGCTGCACAGGTGGAGCGGGAAATTTCCTCCTGCTTCTATGGAGGCAAGAAGCTCCCACCTGCCCCCAAGCCCTCCCTCCGCCCCACAGCACCGCCCGCCGGCTCAGGGGGGTGAGACTTTCACCAGGCTCCCGGAAAGCTAGGGAGGAAATGGGCTCAGTTCGGTTCCCTTCTCTGCCCGCTGGGAGAAGGAAGAGAGACACCGCCCCATGAACGAGAGAGGTGGCTTCCCATCTCCTTTAGCTGCCCCGGAGAAGGAGAGGAGAGAGTGCACCCCATCTCTTCCTCACTGTCGTCTCCCTGGGAAGAGGAAAAGAGACTCCCCTCTTCAATGGGGTATGTTAGTGAGACACTTCTCCCTGCTCTGTGCCAGAGGGGTAAAACTCCTTCCCAGGCTCCTCTTGCTGCTATGGTAGCAGGGGAAGGACTTGCCCCACCTCCCCTCACTGCCCATGGATGGGTGAGGAAAAACATATGTTCTGGGTCCCCTGAAGTGCCTCCTGGGGGAGAGGAGAGACTTTCCCGGTTCCCTTACTTCCCTATACATGGAGGGGAGAAAGAGTCTCTCCAGGCCCTATTATTGCCTTATGTGGTAGCAGTGAGGCAGACAGTCTCCCCAGATCCTTTCACTTTTTATGGTCTGGGGGTGGGAAGAGAGGGGCTGCCCAGTTGGTGCTGGAAGCAAGTCCTTGCTGCTAGGATGTTGATATGGAGGCCCAATTTCCTGACTCCCCTATGCTGGTATAGGAAATTGACTCTCTCCAGGTCTTCTCACTGCCTTATGGAAGTAGAAGGGTTTAGAGGGACACCCCCAATATTTGTGCATTTGGAGACCCTCCCTCAATAGTTCTTACTGCCCTATGTGGGAGAAAAGGCTCTGCCCACCTAAACTATTCTACTGACCCCATAACATAAGAATGGCCACACAGGGTATGATCAATGGTCCATCTAGTCCAGTATCTTGTCTTCTGATAGTGACCAGTGCCAGATGCTTCAGAAGGAATTAACAGAACAGGACAATTATTGAGCCCCGTTGTCCAGTCCCAGTTTCTGGCAATCAGAGGCTTGTTGACACCCAGGGCACCGGGTATCCCTGACCATCTTGGCTAATAGCCATTGATGGACCTGTCCTCTATGAACTTATCTAATTCTTTTTTGAACCCAGTTATACTCTCGGCCTTCACAACATCCCTTGGCAACGAGTTCCAGAAGTTGACTGTGAGTTGTGTGAAGTACTTCCTTATGTTTGTTTTAAACCTGCTGCCTATTCATTTTGTTGGGTGACGATGACCCCCTAGTTCTTGTGTTATGTGAAGAGGTAAATAATAATTCCTTATTCACTTTCTCCATACCGTTCATGATTTTATAGACATTTATCCTATCCCCCCTTATTCGTCTCTTTTCTAAAATGAGCACTCCCAGCCTTTTTAATCTCTCCTCATATGGAAACTGTTCCATGCCACTATTAACTTTTTGCCCTTTTCTGTACCTTTTCTAATTCTAATACCTTTTTTGAGATGGGATGACCAGAACTGCATGCAGTATGCAAGGTGTGGGTGTACCATGGATTTATATGGTGGCATTGTGATATTTACTGGCTTATTATCTGTCCCTTTTTCTAATGGTTGGCTTTTTTGACTGCTGCTGCACATTGAGCAGACAAGTTCAGAGAACTATCCACAATGACTCCAACATCTCTTTCTTGAGCAAATTTAGACCACATCATTTTGTATATATAGTTGGGATTATGTTTTCCAGTGTGTATTACTTTGCACTTAGCAACATTGAATTTCATCTGCTGTTTTGTTACCCAGTCACCCAGTTTAGTGAGATCCTCTTGTAACTCTTCACAGCCAGCTTTGGACTTAACTATCTTGAATTATTTTGTATAGTTGACTCTTTTCTTGATCATTTATGAACATGTTGAACAGCACGGGTCCCAGTAGAGATCTTTGGGGAACCGTGCTATTTACCTGTCTCCATTCTGAAAACTGACCATCTATTCCTATCCTTCGTTTCCTGTCTTTTAACCAGTTACTAATCCACGAGAGGATCTTCCCTCTTATCCCATGATTGCCTGGTTTGCTTAAAAGCCTTTAGTGAGGGACTGTGTCAAAGACCAAGTAAACTATATTGACCGGATTACTCTTGTCCACATACTTGTTGACTCCCTAAAAGAATTCTAATAGATTTAAAAGGGAAATCATGCCTCACCAAAAGCAAAGTTGACTCTTCCCGCAACATACTGTGTTTATCTATGTCTGATAATTCTGTTCATTACTATAGGTTCAACCAACTTGCCTGATACTGATGTTAGGCTGTAATTGCCAGGATCACCTCTGGAGCCGTTTTAAAAAATTGGCATTGCATTATCTATCCTCCAGTCATCTGGTACAGAGGCTGATTTAACTGATAGGTTACATACCACAACTAGTAGTTCTGCAATTTCATATTTGAGTTCCTACAGAATTCTTGGGTGAATGCCATCTGATCCGGTGACTTATTACTGTTTAATTTATCAATTTGTTCCACAACCTCATCTATAGACACCTCAATCTGGGATAGTTCCTCAGATTTGTCACCTAAAAAGAATGGCTTAGATGTGAGAATTTCCCTCATATCCTCTGCAGTGAAGACCAATGCAAAGAATTCATTAAACTTCTCTGCAACAGCTCTGTCTTTTTTGAGTGCTTCTTTAGCTCCTTGATCATCTGGTCACCCCACTGATTGTTTGTTTGGCAGGCTTTCTGCTTTTGATGTACTTAACATTTTTTTTGCTGTTGATCTTTGTGTCTTTTACTAGTTGTTCTTCAAATTATTTTTTGGCCTGCCTAATTATATTTTTACATTTGACTTGCCAGAGCTTATACTCCTGTCAGTCTTCCTCAGTAGGATTGGCCTTCCAATTTTTAAAGGATGCTTTTTTGCTTCTGACCACTATGTGGTTTAGTCATGGTGACATTTTTTAGTCCCTTTACTGTTTTCTTTTTCTTTTTTGGGTGAGGAGTATATATTTAGTTTGAACCTCTATTTGTTTTCAAATACAGGAAAAGCTGCCAAGAGCGACCACTCATGGGAGTTAGCAAAAGTGGTCGCTTGTAAGAAGTGGGCTCTCTTCAAAGGTTTGAACACCAGAGAGTGGTGGTGTTCCCAGGCCTCTGCAAGCCGTCACTCTTGTCAGGTGGTCTCTCTTCAGAGGTGGTCTCTAAGGCAGGTTTTACTGTAGTTACCATGCAGCTTGCAGACATTTCACTCTTGTGACTGTTCTTTTAATTTCTGTTTAAATAGGTTCCTCATTTTTGTGTAGTTTGAAGTTAAATGCTTCTGTGGTGGATTTCTTTGGTATTTCCCCTCCTCCTTAAAGAATGTAAAATTTAATTACATTATGATTGCTATGACTGAGCAGTTCTGCTCTTGGGCCAAATACTGTTCTACGCTTAGGACTAAATCAAGAATTGCCTCTCCCCTTGTGGGTTCCAGGAC